CTTTCTAGACGATACTGCGGGTACGTGTGTACGCGCGCCGCGACGCTAGCGATAAACATACTCCTTCCGAACGGTTAAAAAGAAGCATCGATTAAATTTCAAGCGTCGTTATGTCCGTGTTGCGATTCAAGAGCATTGTTTGTGAATTCCCGCGACGGAACTTCTTGCGATAATTCATGTGAAACATAATGCTTCAAAGTTTATCTCCAATGAGTCAGTTAAAAATTATTACGACGTCGGTGGTATTTTTATTCCGCCATCTTTATTGGTTTATTGTGCAAATTAAATATAGAATTCTACTCTAGTTCCTTCTTTCTTCTTCTTCCACTTTTATTTTCTCTTCTCACGCAGAAAAATTACGAAATGAAATACGTAATCTTGGAATGAACACTTTCATTTTCATTTTTATATACGTATAAATATTTCCGTGGACTTTTAACTGCCTCGGGAATTTGCGAAACGATTTTGAAAATTAATCGGGAATCGAGGATGCGTCGAAGTTGATTAAAATTTAGTTTGCGGTAATTGAAAGATAATTCCATATACGGAGAAAGCATTTCCGTGAATTGTTAATATTGTAAGAGCGGCGAACAAGCGCGAATTCATTGACTAGCGAAGTTGATGTATTTTGGGATACACTATTCGCCAGCGCCAAGTTTCATTGGCACAATTCCTTCTTGCGGCAGAGTGAGAGAGAGAGCGAGAGGGGGATAGCTGGGAGGGAGAAGCACGATCAATGACCAACGAAAAGAGATGTTAATAAAAGTACAGTGTGATTTAGCACAAAGGATCGTTGTGGAATCGATATTAAAGCAAACGTTCCTCTAGGATTTCGACACTGGTATTGATCGAAATTGCGAAATTATATAGCGACGTCGCGTTAACTCGTAGATTCAATTATATATTGATCGAGAGCAGCAGTGCTTGCGTCAGCCTCGCTTTCAACATTGCACGGTATCCTAGAATCTCTGGAAACAAGCGTTCCGTGAAATCACCGGGACAAGCCTCGTATTATTGCTTTGTCGTGAAATCCGTTTTCCTGTTCAGCTCGCCAATCGGGCCAATCCGGCCCGTTAAAATACACTCAAAACCATTACGCGGCGAACGTAATTGTATCTCATAGCGGATCCTTTCGTGCGCTTAATGAACGCACGCTTGTCACGTACACCGTAATTTTAGTATTCCATTTACGTTTGCCTCTTAATCGGGGCGTCGAATTTCGTTCTTCAGACGAAACGGTAACTTCCATCTTTCCTCTTCGAAATCCGCGATTAAACCATCCGCGATGACAATTGACTCGAGGTACCGGTGAAAATTGCAACGCTAGGGGAAAAGAAGGGGGGAAAGAAACTGCCGAGCTCTACGGTGGTATAGCCACGGTAAGATAATTAGTCCGGCAACGCGTGAAAAGTTTGAAAAGACGAAGAGACTTGGATTCCGTGAAGTAACAAGCTCCACTTATCGTACGGGGTACTGCAGCGACGCGAATGAAGAGTTTAATGGCATGCTTTCCTGTAACGCGATCGTCCGGTAAAAAGCCACTAATGAATCGATCGCGATCGGCAGACCCCCACTCTCCTCGAGAAACTCGTTCTCCCGGGGGTCCCCGTGATTAACGGCCATACCCTCGATGATCGCAAAGCAGTGGCTCATTCCTCTCTGAATCTCTTACCGTCCTTGTCCTTCTCTCTTCCAACGCTCTGTCCTCTGCCCCTACCTTATTTTCTCCCTCCCACCAACTGCCTCCTCCTCTTCTCCGTTCCTTCAGCCGTCCTCCATGGTCTCCCTCGATGCCGGAGAAGTACTGGTTTCGTGGAAACCCATTCCCCCGGTATTCCATCGTTGTTCCTGCAATTAACCAGCGTTTTGTTCTCCACAGTCGATAGATCGGGAACCGGGCAGTCTGGAAGCTCGCCGAGGGTGACGCTTCGGCTCAACCAGGTGCGAGGAGCGAGGGATGAAAAGAAAGGAGGGGGTGCTACTAACTCCCGACAGGGCGGCATGAACGCACAGGTATACATATATACACGTATACAGGGTGTCCCAGCAACGGTGGTACAATCGGCAAGGGTGCAAAACAAATCGAAAAGAAAGAATAAGATTCTTTCATTCGAAGCTTCGTTTTCGAGAAAAGCAACTTTGAATATTCGCCGAGTGCACGTGCTCTTAGCTATAGTTTATGTAAATAGACCATCGATACACGAGTGTCGGTGGTACAGTCGAGGAGGGGATAATTCTACGTGAAAAAACAAATCGAAAATATAGAATAACATTTTTTCATTCGATGCTTCGCTGTCGAGAAAATCGACTTTGAATATTCACAGAGTACGCGTGCACTTAGCCATGGCTGAGGCGGATGAACCATCAGTGTAGCAGCGCACTCGGTATATATTCAAAGTCGATTTTCTCGACAACGAAGCTTCGAATGAAAAAATTTTGTTCCTTATTATCGATTTGTTTTTTCACGTAGAATCATCGCCTGCTCGGTTGTACCACCGAGATGTTGATGTATCGATGATCCATACGTCTAAGTCATAGCTAAGTGTACGCGCACTTGATCAATATTCGAAGTCGTTCAAATCCCATCCCGGTTGTACTACCGTTGCTGGGACACCCTGTATACCACGTACCTATATATCATCCGCATTTGATAGGTCTTCTCGATGGAAATCTACTGTTGCGAATAATCTTCGCTTGCTGGTCACACATCGGTCGGTGCCCTGAAACATAAAATGGAAAAATTAATATCGCGAATATTGATTCGTGAATAGTGATTCGTTTAGACATACCTTTGTAAGAACGATGTTTGATGTTGTTCGCGTTGATCAGCGAACGCGGTATCGATGTCGTTATTATGAAGTACAAAGACGGGTATCACGCGTAAAGTTCGCTATAAACGGATTACATAATTATATTATGATATAAGAAAACGTAAAATTGCAGCATTTTTTAACGAAAGGAATAACGTTTTCAGAACCAAGGTCAAATGGAAACTTCGTCGAAGACGTCTTCGAACGTCTCGTCAGGAACCGTGAATGTCGTCTCGGGTTCCAGCACCTCTGGAAACACATCGTCTGCCGGCGATAATGGCGACGTATACGAGTTCAAAAGTTCGAAAGAGCCAACGCCGGTCAGGGGTGCAAGCTCATCGCCGAATCCTAATCCCGAGAAAGACAAAGATGGTAGCAAATCTGCCGGTAATCAAGGAGGCCAGAGCAGTGGTAGCAACGTATCTACCGCTGGTAGTGCGACAACATCTTCTGGTGAAACAACGACCGCATCGATTACTACCGATGATGCTCCTGCGGTTTCAGCATCGCCTTCGTCTAAGCGTGCGTTCGAAAGCGACAATGCGGAAGAGCAAGACGAGGAGAATCGTCGGAAAAAACGAAAAGATTCTGAGCCTGTTAAGGAAAATTTAAAAAGCGCCACTACTGGAAGGCAGAGTGCCGGTAGAAACTCCGCTAATACCGGAGAAAAGGTTCATTTGTTATTATTTATTATACAAGACATCGCCGAATACGTATTATAATTAATGAAAAAGATATTGCACGAGATGATTTGACAGATTTTTTGAATTATTTGTAAACTAGTCGTTATACGAAAAAATACGAGAGGCAAAACTTATGTTATACTAAAGAAAGTCTCGTGTTATCGACACCTTATTTTTACATCTTTCATCGAATTCTGAAAACTGCCTTAAGTGTTGTTATAAATGAAAGATTGTCTATTCTTGTCTAGAAATATTTGAAAAATTCAAAATGGTCATAAAAGATATATAGAGTGGGGTCATAGAAGAAATTATGGAAGAAATTATTATGATATATATGCCTTTTGATATTTGCAATGGCAGGGATTGAAAAGATAAGGATTTTTAAAGTCTTAGCTCGAGTGGTATGAATTATTTTAACTTTGAGCCCCTACTGTAATATCGCGTGACACTGTGATTTACGATCTCGTTGAATTATCTGTTTAAATAAAATCACTTATTCGGAGAAACCTGCAATTAATAATGAATCGAATTGAATAATTGTGCAGTTGAACAGGCGTATCTAATATTTCTTTTTCTTTTTGTGCAGTGTACCAAATCTGGTAAACAAGGATCTGGAACAACTTCGAATAAAAGCAATCAAAACGCAACCACGATTAGTACCGATAGGAAAAGTCCAAGTACTTCCTCGATGGCGAGCAGTCCGAAGCCTTCGAATCCTTCTAATTCAACGACTAATTCTAAAACAATTACACCAGCACCTCCGGAATCTGACGGTGAAGACGATCGATCGAAAGGCTCAGACTCTAATTCAGCTCCTAAAGTACCACCTTTGAAAATAGTTATACCTCAAAGTACCACCTCTGAGCAGGAGCAAGGCAATAGAAACGGGAAGAGCACGTCTAATAGGAGTCATCAGTTACCCTACGTAGTTGCCAGTTCTAATAGTAATGATTCAACGGATAAAGATCAGAATCTGTCCACCAGTGGGACAACGAGTCCCACGGAAAGTGGAAATACTGCTAAAAATGAAGATAAAAAAGATTTTAGCGGTGCTTTGCACGGAGAAGAAAGGTCAACGCATCATCAAAGAGTGCTGAGAAGTTCGCATAGATCTGGTAATGGGAGCAATGGGTCGGCGGCTCTGAAAGAAAATTCCTCTTCCGCGGCAAATGGAAATTATTCGAATTCATCTCCATTACCGGTAGCTGCCTCGACGGATCGTTCGAATAATTCGTCACCGCAGCAAAGACATCACTCGCCAACACCTGAAACTGTTACTTCCGAATCAAATAAAAATACGTCGACGGAAGTATCGAATAGTGGGACCGCATCAAAAGCAAATATTATGGCGGAAAAATCGGAAAAGAGCAATGAAACAAGTGGAAAATGTCAGAAAGATAATGGAACAGAGAATTCGGAAAATACTTCTACAACTACCTCATCGACAACATCAAATATAAACACTCCAGCACCACCTGTTGAACTTCACCCTAGGAAAAGAAAAATGAAACCTAATAAAGAAGCACAAGCTGCTACAGCTGCTTCTAACGAAGCATCTGAAACAACAAATACGGGACCAGAAGTTCATCCGCATGATCAACCAATTACAAACTGTTATCAATTGTTTTTAAACATTAGAAAACAGGTTCATACATTTATCGTTTCTAATATATCATAGAAATTTCTTTACAAGAAGTATATTATAACCAACTTACGTTGTTTTCACTTCTTTAGATCGAACGAAGACGAAAAGGTCTTTTTCCAGTTCAACCAAAACCACCTCAGGGTTTCAAGGATTATTTAATGAATCGTTGTACATACGTATTAGCTGGGAATGCAAATAAAGAGCCAAACGTTAATCCTCCAGTCGGATTACAAGGCGCTATGAAAGATTTGTATATTGAACAAGAAAAGGAGAGATACCGTCTAAGAATGCAACATGTTGTTGAAAAAGAAAAATTAGTTTTATCGGTGGAACAAGAAATCCTTAGAGTACATGGTAGAGCTGCTAGAGCTCTAGCCAATCAGTCCCTTCCCTTTTCTGTTTGTACGATATTAAAAGATGAAGAAGTTTATAATGTTATTACTCCAGAACAAGAAGAGAAAGATAGAAATGCAAGAAGTAGATATAACGGCAGATTATTCTTGAGTTGGTTACAAGATGTAGATGACAAATGGGAAAAGATTAAGGTAAAGATTATTGTAATCCTTATAATACTTATACCTGAATCATTATGTAGACTATAAATTTCTATATTGTCTGTAATTATTCAGGTTAAATTAAATTGGTTACATAAGAAACCGACTGTTGAGCATTTTTTTATGCATATCAGTTTAAAAAGATGTAATACATTTAATTAATTAATACATTTACAATTAAAAAGAGATATTGTAATAAATGGAATATTAAAATTTACTATTTTTACTATTTACTATTTTAAAAATACTATTTTAGGAAGCAATGTTACTCAGGCATCACAATGAAGCTGAGTCGTTACATGCTGTCCAAAGAATGGATTGGGAATGGAAATTAAAAGAAGTTGGATTATGTGAATTTAAAGCAACACCTCAAATAGAAGATATTCATGTTCCAATGGTACATGTCTCAGATGACTTTGATTTGCTCCCAGCCTAGTATACAGTAATTGCACAATTGACTTGGCATAAATATTTCGCTCATACCTTTGAAATAATCGTAAAAGGTATAATTACAATCTGTGATCTCTTTAATAACGTATCCGCCGTTTTTGCACGGTTACCAAATTATATTGAATTATTCTTAAAACTATTGCTACACATGGAGGCTACATTTAAAAAATATTTGACTCTAATTAGATTACTATATCATATATATTTATATTTTTCACTAACTTTTCGAAATTTAAATACCAGAATGTGTAAATTATTTTTGTTCGCATTTATTACTGAACACATTTTATTCGTGGATTATATAATTAAAGAGATGAACAACTGGAAATTGTAAATGACTGAAGATTTGTAATACTCCCTACAAATTCAACAACCAAGAAATTTTGTGTGTTAATAATTTGGTATTATATTTTTCAGTATATTGTCTCTTTATCGTAATAATGTATATATTTTGTACCTAGCAACTTACATAGTGCTTTTAAATGATGTATAAAAACGTTAGAAAAAAAAAAACTGTGTAATAAATGAAATTATGTCCAATTATTTTTCTTCATTTATTTTTTTGATAATCGAGGGTTCAGTAATAGAAGTTTCATTTGAGTCTTTCAAGATTTCAAGGTCTATCGGCTTATTATATCTCATAATGATAAAATAATGTTTGGGGTCTATAAAATCTTTTTTATCGAAAAGTAAAGGTCTTCCTTTTGTAATGCAAGTTGTAAATGCTCCAAGTTGAGGTTCAGATACATCATTTGGAGTAAATATTATCTGAAATATACAAATAAACATTATTTATTATTAAAAATATAGTAACAATATAAGTAACATTTATTAGTAATTTTAAGAAATATAGATACCTGTTTCTGTCTGCCAAGAAAAGAATACACTTTAGCAATATATTTTTCATTTTGAGACTTATACATTGTAATTACATATCTCCTTGTTAATAAATGTACAAAAATAGGAGTACCTATACTAACTAAATTTATTACTGCAAATAATGCTGCTATACCTATTAAATTATCATCTATTATGATTTTCGAAAAAATAATAGGTTGACCGAATGATGTTAAAATTGATGTTATTATAGAAACTAATTTAAGGTTACGAACTCTTGATGTTAATGACCCAGTATATATTAGTTCTCCACCAACAGTTTCATTGTTTTTCATGGACAAATGCCTTGCTTGCAAGAATGGTGCAAATTTCTGTAATATAAAGTCTACAGTGTTTGATACATTTTGCAGAATAAAATGTATTACACAAATCACAAAACTACTAACGTAAAGAAATGTTATAAACGTGTTAAAAATATGAATAAATTGTTTAAAATTATAATACATAAATATAATTACTAATAATTTTATAAAATTGGTAACATAGTTTTTAAATAGAATTTCTAACCTTGATATTGTTGTTTGTAGAATACATAAATGTACGTCTGAACGATGCAACTTCTTGTATGAGAAGTTTTCTTTGACTAAAAATGCAACTCCGTAATAGTAAAATCATAATTATAAATTAATTGTAGTTTATGTCACGTTCGTTAAATGTTAACGTATCGTGTGTTCACACACAAATGTTTTCGATCAGTTCAAGTTAGGAAACATTAAATATATAACATACTAAAAGATAAAAGTTTAAACGATTTAAAGTTTACAGTATTAAATGAGAGACAAAAAATGCCTATTCAAGCCTAAAGCTAAAATAAATTTCTTTAGCATAAAAAATAATTTTGTATTTACAAGTAGCCATTAATTTAGGTTAGCCACTAAATATACGTTAAACATATATAAGTAACGGCATTGATCTAAAAATATATTAATTACATAAATCCAAGAAGAACTGTATTGCAGCGAAAAATATTTAATAAATTTAAAACGAAATAATAATTTACTTTCTACATTTTTATATTTCTAAATAAATTTTAAGGATTTTTTTTGCCTTATAATTATATTCTATAATTCAATTTTTATATTTATTCTTCTTAATATTTTAACATTTTTTAAGCTATTATGAATTTAAATCATTCTATAATATAAATTAATTACACAGCATTTATTATATGAAAGTATTAGGAATTATACTTCACACAAATAAAATTGATATCAATAAAAAGAGAAACAAATAACGTATTCATTTATGCTATTTAAAATACTATCATAGAAATTGTCAAACTAAATAGAATATGGAAAATATATATTTTCCATAAAAATGCAGTCATATTTTGTTACATGTAGAAAAAAGTTGAAAGTATACTTTGAGAGTTAGATATTGAACAAAATATTAAACCTATAATTATAAGTACAAATAATACCAATAGTAGTTTAGGATTAAATTTAGAATAATAAATTATTAATTACTTAGAATATATTTTGTTTATATATATCTAAACATTTATGCAGTATGATAAAAAATATAGATATGCAGTAATTATATAAATAAATAAATAAATAAAATAGTAATTACCATATACATAAATAAATTACTCACAACTTATCCTAACTATATTCATGAATTATAAGTATACTCTTGTTCTATTTACATGACACAATTTACATCTGTTTACATCTGGAATCTCAATTTATTGGAATCAATATGTACATGTCGAATTACATTTTATCTATTTTTTTTCTTTCTACTTGATTATTCATCTTAGTACTTGGGATTTGATTCAGGGCATCTGTTTGTAATTTCGGTACTTCAAAATTCTTTAGTTTCTCAGATTTTGTCATTACTGCAATAAACTTAGAATTTGTAAAATATTGATTTAGAAGCAATAAAGATTTCTCTTTAGTAACGCACATTACAAGATTAAGTTTGTCCTTAGGTACTGTTATCTCATTTTCATTAAATGTTATCTGCAACATATAGACAACATATCATCTGGAACATATCATACAAGTAACATAAATAAGTAAAAAATAACTTGAAATGAAATTAAATACTTGGTATGATTTGAGAATAGGATTCATTATTCTAGCACTAAACTTCTGTTCTTCAGGGTTATAATGAATCTCAGATACATATCGCTTTAAAATGTATCGTGCTGAGATGATACAAACTATGGCAAATAGGGCTGTCTCTAAATACTCTCTTATATTCTGATTTGAAAGTATATTTCTATTGACATATGTATAACAAAGCAAAATTGGTACTATTATCAGCAATACAATATGCAATATTTTTATTACATAAATCGTTTTAGTATTTGCTTTATATATTAGTACTTCTTTAACTCCTTTATTGTTTTCTATGAAAAACTGCCTCGCTTGCAGAAATGGTGTAAATTTCTATAACATTATAAAATTAACCATGTTCAAAATATAAATAAATTATTCAAATTATTTGACAATTTTGTAAAGTTAGTAGAATAGTTTTTAAAAGCAATTTCTAACCTTGCTATTATTGTTTATAGAATACGTAAATATAGGTCGAACCAGTGGAATTTTTTGCCTAAAGAGTTTTCTTGAAAGTTTTCTCAAAATACAACTTTGAAATAGTGAATTCATAATTAAATATTATTTCTTGTTTATGTCACACTTATTCAATATTTACCTATTACGTACTAACAAGAATAAAATTGGAAACGTTTAATACGTAACACACCCATGTTGCATATTCAATTGATTCTCGTACTTCTGTATTAAACGCATGAAATTTAAATAAATTTAACATTGATTAATGAAATTATGTATATATATATCATATGTTATACTGTATGAATTTAATTACATTTGTGTTATGTTATTATATATATTTAACTATATGTATAATCAAATTGTCACATTTACATTTAGTTAAATTTATCGCTGATAAAATGTAATTCCGCTTGAAAATAAGAAATGATGATGTTCTTAAGGTCGTCATTATGAAAATGTAAAACAAAAGTTCGTTGTTTAAATTAAATATCTCTTAATATAAGAACTTAAGATAACTTTAAAATAAAAATTAAATCTTTGTAGATATCCTTAATTTATTCAAACATAAATTTAAAAAAATCACTAGTAATTTAAGTAACAATCCATGTACTAATATATTTTTATCCGTAGTTCACTTCATGATGCAAGCATCAATGTTGTCAGGACTGATAGGATTACAAAACTTTAACGCATTCGAGGAAGTAGTTTAATATTTTTTGTTTAATATTATGAACAGTTACCGCTTTTTTTATTTATCGTTATTTCTATAAAATTTCGTGTGATAAATATAGGAATTTTACATAGTATTATACTCGCTATTAAAGATAGTTGTGTTTGTATATTACTAGCATATGCATTGTGTTTGCAAATAACTGTGTTATCGATTATTCCAATTTTGCCGTTGCCATGTTTTCAATTTTATGCAAGTAAGAAATCGTAAAATACCACGTGATTATCGTTTACTTAAATGACCGTTGCAATGATTTAGTGTGTTCAGTATTGTGAAAATATGAATAATGTATAATATACGGGAACCTAGTTTCTGTTCGAGTATTTCGAAAAGTACTTGCCATTCTTTGTGAAATGTTTGAAATTGATTTTATGAAATGTATTTATAAAACATGGCGTCCTAAATTAGGTTATAAATACGTTAAAATTTGCACAACGTTCCCTTGTGAATTAAATATCTCAACTGTGTTTAATGATAATTCTGTTAAATACTTCAATGTAAGTTTTAATATATTAATAGATCATATTTATGATTAAATTATGCATTAATATAATTACTTTGAAATTTTATGTATTATGTGCTTTTTAATTCATTTAATGAAATATTGTATAAGTGAAGTATGTTGACAATTAAATTTATTGTGATACAGAAAGGTAAATAGGTAAAGGAGGTAGATTGTAACCTAAGTTAAGTGATAGTTAAAAATAAATAGGATAAAGTGGCTTGTAAATATGATTGCATGATAACAATTATAATCAAAAAAGTAATTGACATAAAATATTATTTTCATATAATTGTATATCTATTTTATATAATATGTTATATCAAATGTTTTATTTTAAAAATAATTGTTACCTAAGTGATTATTTTAAGAAGATATATTTATATACTATATATTATTTCTTTGTATTTGTAGTTTATCAATTTATTGAATACATTTACAACTATGAAGAAGCAAATAACAATTAAATATAGGTTCACTACTATGCAATACATATGAAAATATGAAAAGTAGCTCAAAGAAGGAAGATATTAATGTAAAAAAGAAATATGTTTTTTTTTCTGACCCCGATATTATTGCTCAACGTGTTGAAACATCTGCATTAGTAAGTAATATTTATTTATTTATTTTATTTTATTATTTATATTTTGTATATAATTTCTTAGAGAAGATATAAATAAAATTACTAGTGTAATGATTATTATTTACATTACTAAAGTATGATCTAATAAAATGTAATTTTAACAGCAGCAGGATTATATTACCAAGCAGCTATCTAAAGAAAAACCATCTATCTTTCCAGTTGAATTTGACTTGAAAAGTTTAGAAAACTCATCATATCATCCTGTTCAACCATATCCTTTCACATTTATAAGTGCTGTGAAACGAAAACTTGTCCTAAATGACGGTTCTGATGCTTGTAGAAAAATACATGAACTAAATAATAAAAATGTAATCAAGCCTCTAACAATATTAAAATCTGATAGTACTCAGAATTTACATGACGTTGTACAAAAAATGGATTTTATAAAACCATTGAAAGTTCCAGACTTGAAAATCTCTGCAAAGAAATTGGATTTTTCTAACAGAGAAAATTGTACATCAAAAGAGTTAATATCATCAAAGTTTGAATCACCTTCAAAGGAATTTATTCATGAAAGAGGAGAGAAACCAACAAAGAGTTTTGAACGAGTACAAAGAAGATTAGATTTTTCAACATCAGATGTATCATCAACCATTAATAGTGAAGTAGAGCCACTGAAGGTGCCAAATATTTCTATATCTTCAAATTTATCGAAGAAAAAGGAATATATTAGAGAAAATTCTAGAGAAAAAGAGAACAGGTCTAAAAGAATTAGAAAAGATGAGTCCTTGTTCTCTAAATCAGATGAAATAATGCAAGATTTTTTTAAAAGATCTAGAAGCCCAAGACATGCTTCTAGAAAAGATTTTTCTAATAATGTAAGTGAAAATACATTAGGTACAAAATTGAAAAATGACAAATTGTCATTTCATATGCCAAGGGATAGTGACTGTATTTCAACAAAGTCAAAGACAAAAAACTTTGCAACTTCAACTGCTAAAAAGATTAATGATAAAAAACACAGATCTATTAATACTAGATCTTTAAAATCAAGAGATACTTCTTTGGAATCAAAGAATAGATCTTATAATAATGAATCACTATCTGAGCGTTCTTCAAAATTGTCAGACAAAGTTACAGTTAGAGAATCGAGGAATATGTTTGAAAATTTTGATTATAAACATAAACAGCATAAAATAACATGTCAATCACAAGGAAAGGCAGGATATGTATTTTTTAAAGAACAGAACAAGAGGTCTGAAAAAGTAAAACCTTCAACAAGTAAAATGGATGGGAAGATGTATATAGCAAATGCTAAGGAGTCAGAGGGTATAGAAAGTGTAACCGATTCAAATATAAGTGTAAGAACACAAAGTCCAAGTATTATTTCTATACAACAAATGAAAAATAAAGATTCTGAAAAAGTTGCACAAAGTATTAACATAAGTAAATCGAATAAAACTACCGAAAACTCAAAATATACAGATGATTCTTCAACACAATGTACTAGTATAAATACAAAGAAGGAAGAAGAATCATTCATGCAAAGTATTGCTACTACAGTCAAGCAAACTAGTAATAGTAACGAATCTAATTTAAATGACAGTGTTTTGTCGAACATGTTATTAGATCCAAGAAAAATTTCATTCAGAGATGAAAGTCGTTCACAAGAAGAATTTTGTGATTTAATTACTCCAGATATGAATCTTATGCCACGATCTAAACGAAAACGACAATTTATACAAAATAGTAACATAGAAGCTGATGTTAAGTGTTCAAAACATAATATAGGTAAAACTGAAACAGAACCAGAAAATATTTCATTGGTAAATACACATATACAATTTATATAGAGTTATTTTATTCAATGTATAATTATAAAAGTATTTTTATAATTGTAGTTACACCCAACTGCCTTACATATGCAATTTCAAGCTGAGTTGCACCTTCTTGATTCTTTTAACGAATCATTGAGACAAGTCATGGATGTTGAAAAATGTTTTTATAATGTTAAACAAGATCAAGAAAACGAGTTACCATTACAGCATAGTCAGTTAAATGACCAAGTAAAATCACATTTTTCTAAAGTAGCAGACGAAAGAAATATTGATAATATGGAACATTGCAGTGAGATTAGTAAATCACACAAACATGTTGCTACTGATAAAGGTAAAGTAAGAAGATTCGATATGTAGTAAATAAGTGTTTGAATGTTTAAACTATTTCTCGTGATAAATGAAAATTGTTAGTTACTAATAGAAATATTAATATCAAAGCAGCATTTCCCACTCATGTAGTACATCATATTACAAGTCCAACTATGGTAAACGAGTTTGATAATGTGAATAAAATAATCAAACCAGTAGTTAAAGCTGTAGAAGTACAAACACAAACAGTGAATGATATGGCAACCCAAACAGATATACGTTCAACTCGACGAAATGTACAAAGCAGATGTTCAGAAATATGTGGAATACCATATGAACGAGAATTCGTCGGAGATAGTGAAGTTCCACATTTTTCTTTAGACTCAGTGGAACAATTTGAAGATTTAGATCAGATAGAAGAAATATCATTACCCAGTAAATTAAGAACAATGTCGGAAATAAGCTTGCACGAAACTACATCGTCTATACGAACAGAGACGGGAACTGAGATTAGCATTTCCACCAGAGATGTAACTTGTTCCTTTAATAAATATTTAGATCTAGAAGTAAGTATAATAAATTAAAATTACTATACTGAAAATGAATTGAGATTATATATTCCAAGTATTTGTAGATTGCACAGTTAATAAAAGACGAGAAACAAAGATATGATAAAATTGAGATGTTATTCAAGTCTCGTGAAAAAACATTAAATGATCGAACTAAAAAATTAGTGAAATTGGAGGAACAAAAAAGAGCTTTGAGAGATACAGGACAAGATAGTCGTGTTAGTTCTGTGAAAAAGAAGCAAAGAGCTTTACTTTTAAAATTGCAACAAGAAAAGGATGAAATGAACCGGTATTATGACTCTTTATATTTATAAATATTTCCTGTACTTTTTATATATTTACAAAAATTTTATTTTTAGATTAAAAGAACTTCACAAAATTGCAAGTCAAGAACGTAAACTTATGTTACAAAAGCAAAGAAATATGTTTAATCCACAAATATCTACTAAAAATATTTTAACAAAATTAAAACGAAGTGCAGATAGTCAGTCTCCCAGAAGACTATCTGGACCCATGAAAGGATATGATATAAGAAGTAATAGTTCTATGAGTTCTTTAGTAGATTCTGATAAATCTCAACACGATCGATCCCAAACAGACGCACGTATGCAGATGTTGGAAAACGAATTACATTTTTCTAAAATCGATTTGCCAAAAAGTAATAAATTTATGAATTTCGTTGAAGAATCTAACGCATCATTTTTAAGATTTGATAAATCTGATGAAGCAATGCAAAGTAATATGTCTCAAGAAAAATGTCTTTACAAAACTCAAAAAGATGGGAACATATCCAAATATGAGATAAAGTCCAGAAAATTCGAAGAGAAAATGCCTAGAGCAGACGTAATAAGATTAAAATCGCACCAACATTCTGTTGATCCAAAATTGATCCCATGTCATTCCATGAGCATTCCCGGGAAATATCTTTTCGAAAAAGATAAATCTCCCGATATGTCAGAACTATTACAACAGAATTTAAATAAATCCATTTCTGAACATATTAAATCAGAATCTGACACTCTGGTAGAAGAATTATCTAAAAAATCAAAGCCCTCTCAAATAACAGATAATCATTTTCAAAGTATAGTGTCCCCAAGAGAATCTTTAAAAGCTATTACTACGAATAGTGAAATTTTATCAGAGGAAGTAAGTTCTATTAGCCAAGACACTGTATTGAAAACGTCCAAATCGTCGCAAGTATCTGAAGATATTTTACAAACGTATTCAAAAAGTTCTAAACGAAGTACTAAATCAATCCCGACTGATGTATCTAAAAAGACTCAATATAGTTCCGAATCTAAATCAAATTTCAAACGTAGAAGTTCAAAGTGTCAAAAAAGTAAATCGTCGTCCAGCATACTTACGGAAAATATATTGCGATCCAAGTCTAATTCCCAAATGTCAGAAGAATTTGTTAAGCATCACAACAAACGAACAAAAATGGAAAAAGAATTTATTCAGTTTGATAAGAACGATGAAAATGCGCTGATGGATAAACATACAAAGGATAAGAACTTTAAAATATTAACAGATAGGATAGATAATTATGACAGTAAGGAGAACGTATTTTGTCAGAAAATGTTTGACAAAAATGTAGAAGCTTACGAGGATTCTTTTCATAGTCAAGATAAAAACGGAAATAATTTCGATGAAGCGTCCACGAAATCTCAAATTAGTAATTTCGCTATTTCTCATCATAGTTCCGGGGATAGTGACAGAAATTACTCTAAATCTGTGGTCGTTAGATCGCAAGATCATAATTTGAAAACATCTAAGAAACTCGAACAGTAAGTATATGTTTTCCTTCAAACTAATTTATACATTTATATATTTTAGCATCGCGAGATTAGAAGACGCTTTTACTATAGCGTTCAAGCTAAATTAATAAAATTGCGAATCACTAGAGACATGTGTAGGAAGTTCTAATAATAAACTGTGTATTCACACCATGAAATGAAGCATTGTAAAAATAGATTCACTCTACCGGCGATCTGCATTCCGCTGTTATTGCAGTATTTCACTGTAGTAAGGGTAGTTGCTTCAGTTCTTACAACCAAATAATTGTTTTAAATAGTTTCAAATTTTCGCAGTTTTCCTGTTAATTTCCTTACAGTTAGTTTAATCGTTATGGAAGGTATGTTAGTGCTATCAGATGTGATTACATGTTTTAGAATATTAAATGCACGTGAAGCTGCGCTTACATCGCGAAAAAATTGTGTAGAGGAATGGATGGCTTGGCATACAAAGTTAAGGACAGAAGAAGACCGTGTTGCAAGAATGGAACAAGCTGCATTAAAACTTGTAACAGCAACATCTAATGTTTTTTCTCAGCAAGGTAACATTAATACTGACCACTTTTAATCACAACTTACTATCTATGAAACATATTATAGAATTATTTATCAATATTCTTCAAAAGAATTCTTCTTTATTTTTTTTTAGTAGGATTTCTTTTATAGATAAACAATTATGAATTATTTATCTATATATTTGTTTATTTGTATTTGTTGATCACTATCCGTTTTACGTAAATATGCATTTTTTAACTCTAATAATTATTAGAGAGGAGTATGTGTCATTTTATAGATACTACTATTTCATCGGACACGAGCGATATTGAAGGACGAATTGAATTACTCACAGAAAAATTGGCCGAAAGACGGATAGAGATGTCACGCTTAAAAAGGGAAGCCAGAAAACAGACGAAACAAAAACTTCGAGCTTTAGAAGCTAACTTATTGAATCAAATTAAGGTAAAAGACTTAATATTGATAATAAAATAACGAAATGTAATTTATTACACGTACTAAATAATTGTTTCTGCCCAAATAGAAATATGATACGACGATTTACGAAATGCGTAAGAAATTGGAGTCGAAAAAAGGAATTTCTAAAGATAGTGATAAACTAGCTATAGAGTCAAGATCGTTGGCAGACTTTAAAATACCTGAGATTCCTCTAAAAAAATTGCAGGACATGTTTAAAAACAGCGATTTGTTAAGGTCCAGATCAGAATCCGATTTATTATCTACGAAAAGATCACCGATGATGAAAGATTCAATGAAAAATATTAATTTACTTCAAGACGAAACTATCGAGTATGATAGAAATAACTCTGAAAAAGTGATTAAATCTTCAAAAAGTATAATAACCTTGGAACAACTAGGTTCCGCAAAACTGAGCACGGTGAATCACAGTACTCAATCTGTTTTTGATGAAAGTATATCAGAACAAATAGAAATTGATAAACTTGGTTCTGCTTCGATATCATCGGTTTCAGATGGTGTACGATCGGAAAAAAGTATTCCTTGTGAAACCAGACAATGCACAGACGAAATACAAAGCAGACAAAGTATATCCGACACGAAAAAGAGTAACATTTCTGAAAATATTAAAACCGACATCGAAACATCAAAATCTGAAAATGGTATACTTACACAATCGAAAGCCAAGCTTTCTAAGTATGATACTAGCACTCAGTCTGATTTAAGGGAGTATAAATCTGATTTCGATACGTTTTCTGAACAGTCCCAAATTAGAACTATTTCATCGCAATTTGGAATTAATAAATCACAACATTCTGAACATGTATCTTCGAGACAATCCAATATTGTACAAAATTCCAATGCGGAAATAAATACTGAATCTGTTAATAAAAGTCTCGACTTCTCCAAAAAATTAGACTTTTTGCGTTTAAATAATCAGAATTTGAATGAAGATATAAGTTCACTGGAAAATGAGTTTAAGATATTTTCAGAAATGATGTCGCGTTTTAATAAAAGGTCGAATGATGAAGCAAAATACGAATTTACTAACGAAGAAAGAAGTACATCGAAAGATATATCGGAAATACTTTCAGTATCGGATAGAAATAATGAAGTTTTTGACATAGAGCTTATGAAAGGAGACAAGAACAAAGATGCAGAATTATATCAGAAAGAGGATAATTCTGACAACGTATCTTTGACAAATGGTGTAAAATTAAAATCAGTTACTAATGTCAATGACAGTAAAAGCATAGTGGAAGATGTTGATAATGTAATATCTGTTATAATGCCACAGGATAAAGTATCTTCCAGATCAAATAGTCAAGAAATTGATTATAAGACAAGAAGCAAGAAAATTTTGAATGAGATTGAAAAGTCCATAATATCGGAACATATAAAAATAACCGAGGACGAGCTCAATCGTTCAGAAATGTTAATTGAGAATAATACTCGCAATTTAAATTTGTATAAAAAAAATGAGAAAGAGTCTAATGGTACTTCTAGTAAAACTAGTAGTAAATCCTTGTCCGAGATTTATTCGAAAATGTTGCAAGATAAAGAATGTACAAATATTATGGAATTTGAAAAAATACAACATGCTGAAGAAAATTTGGTCGATTCGCATAATTTAAAAAGTCATCAGGTCGTAGATTCAATTAAAAGTCCTTCGATACTATCAGAAAAATCTAACTTCACTGAAAAGGATAAGTCTTCGAGTCAATGTACAGATATCACTCATAATTCAACAAATAACATTCATGTGAAAGAAATTCATTCAGAAAATAAGAGTGATCTATCTTTTATACAGACTTTACAGAATGTTTCAACAAAGCAGGCAACAATTACAGAATACGTAAATGAATTATTAAAAAGACAAACTTCTCCGCAATTATCGAATTCGACTAAAATAATTGAAATAGATAATAGTAAAGGATCAGTAAATTATGTGGAAGATACGGTAAACGATAACAAATATCAAAATATAAATGATGTATATCAAATTTTAAATGTGGAGAATTTAGAGTTATTGTTGAATGAATCTAAGGAATTGAAAGATAGTAATAAAAATGAAAATTCATTTATGCAAAAAGAGATAGAATTCAAAGAAAACACTGAAAAATCTGAAAAATCTATCGAAGAATTTAAGCAAGATACTTCTAATCATGATTCATATCTTAATAAACAAACAGTAAATCAGGGCAGTCAGTCACAAGAAGAACTTATTAATAAAACTTTCGATAAAGATTGGATTACATCTGAGTCGTTTGACATTCATTCTATTTGGGAAAAATCTCAGAACCAAGCTTCACAATTATTCAATGATGATTCAAGCATATTGTTAAATTCAAAAGATATGTCCCAGTCAGTTGATGGCTCTAAAAATGACTCTAAAATTTTTAAAAGTAATGTAGTTAGCGATATAGAAGATGTAGAAGATATGTCGCTCTTTATTCCAAAAAGTGAATCTACAAATATTTATATGTATGGAATTAAATTCGATGAAACAATGTTAGATTCCCATTTTGAAAAGGCTGATAAAAAAGCTGAAGATATATTGAATATAATTACTGCAGATAATGATAGAGAGCAAAGTGAAGAAAACACTGTGCATAGTATAGAGACAGATGATTTTCAAAAAGCTATTTATGATTCTGTGACTAAGATATTGGATAAAGTTGAAAAAAGTATAGAAGACAATTCAATAAGAGAAAAAATTGAAAGCCATACAGATAGTATAGGAAGTAAACACGAGATAAAAGTCATAACAGAAGAAGAAAGAAAATCAATTTTAAGTAGTTTAGTAATCTTACAAAATCAGTCGAGGAATGAGAATAACTTGAAACAAAACGATATTTGTGAAGAAACTGCTTATTCGAATATTGACAGTGACAAGAATATCGATCAAGAGGTAACTAACAAAGTTAATACTGAAATTGCTGTAGACCAAAACATATATGGAGAAGATAAAAATGATGAGGATATATATCATAATGAATCTCGAGAAATTATTATAACAGAATTAGAACCGGGAAGCGCGGAAAGTGAGAGTTTATCAGAACTCGAAATTGATGTTAAAATAGAATTGCCAGATGAAGAACTCACAGAAACGAATAAAAGTGCAAATAAATTGGAAACACAAGAATACGAAGTGCCAGAACAAAAATGTTTGGAATCTATAATAGAACAAGATAGTTCTGATGGTGAACAACTTGATAATTTGGTCGAAGTAACTGAAAGTGGATTAGATGTTATAGAAAAAGAAATTAAAAATTCTACAAATTCTATTACTGAATCCATATCGATTTCACACAAAAAAACAGATACTGAAAATATTGAAATTCAAAATAATGAAATACAAAATGAAAAAAATATAACTACTTCAATAATTATAGATAATATTGAAACAATAGGGAATGATACGTTTGATATATCACCAAATATAGTGAACAAAACTTATGATATTTTAAAAGATCCAGAGTATGAAGATATCTCAGAAGAAAGTCTTGAAGTTTCTGAAATATTTGATAAAAGTGAATTTCAGAAATCTACTGCTATACAAAAATCATCTTCTATACCAGAAAGATATGAAGCAATACAAAAATCAGAAGAGGTATTAAAAATACTAGATGAAATTACACAGAAATCTTCGAATTTAGAAAACAGTACAGATCAATTTCAAGATACTAAATGTGATCCTGGAGATAATAAAAAGTTAAAAGGAGAAATTCTTGATAGAAATGTTATATCTTCAAAAGTTGAAGATACTGTAGAGGATATTTATAAGAAAAACAACCAATCATTAACAGATAATTTGGGAAATCAAAAATCTAAAACAGTAACACTAAGAGAAGAAGATCAATTGGTTCAGACAATAACTAATCCAATTGAAATAGAAGAAAAAGAGAAGCAGGAACAAGATGTATTATCTGAGTCAAGTGAAGGGAGAGATACACCAAAAGGTGTATCAGAAATTGAGATGGATTCTCCTAGAGAACTTAATGATTCAACATTGGATATTGATGTGTTAAATGATGATTTATTAAACAAACCAAATGTGGAAAATCAAAGTATAGATTCAAAGAACACTTTCCATGCTACACCTATTGTTGCAACATCTGAGAAGGATATAGAGGTCATGATAGATAAATTAAAAGGTATGATTTTTATTTGTTTACAATTTTAATTACTATATTAGTATAAAATGAGGCTACATAATTTTAATTTCATGCATTAAAAATGTATTTTTAAATATTAAATTCATTCAATTTTAAATCTTATTATTATTGAATGAATATGCGAATAAATATTTTTACACTGTAAGTCATATATATTAGATATTACACATAGATGATTCAGTTTGAATTAGTTCCAATATCACATATATATAATTTTAAGCATAAATAATAATGTATTCTTGCATATCACATATATTACAGAAACACATACTAATTTTTATGTTGGCTGTATATTTCTGTGCAAAGCATTGCCTCGTATAGCCATGTATTATTTATTTTCAGAATAACAAAGTCGAGATAATAATTACTTAAAGGTAATACAACACGAAACTTTGAATAAAACAGACATTGACTTGTTCTTTTCATACAAATCAATGTTGCATGTGTGCTTGATATTTACTTATTAATTTTTGTATGCACAAAGAAAGCCTGTAAATATTGTGTAACATAACACAATATAAAATATTCTACCTTCTCTGTTTCCTTTAGATATTTTTCAAAGGAAGTGACTATTATATATACATATGATCTTGGAATGTATAATTTTATCACAGCTTTATACTATTTTATTAATGCATCAGAGCATTTTTTTTAATTGTCAAAGCACTTAATCAAAGTAAAATGTGAATTCATAATGTAATGTAAAGATTCGTGTTGCTTTTCCTAGATAATTTATTTGTGAAACTTTTTATAAATTTATATTATTTCGGATTTTCATTTGCATAGCTTCAATGGAACAACCAGGTATGGAAGTTGCAGATTGGGAAGCAAAACTACTTCGTATCGAACAACTTCAAATCGAGTTAGAGGTAAGAATTTATTGCTACCATTCCATTACATTTTTCAATGTAAACATAATTTTTTTATACGTATATTTTTTCGTAATAGATTAAGAAATTAGAAGCCGAAGAAGTATCTTACTACGTTAGGGAAATACCGAACAAACCTCCACCTCCTTACACACCACCCGGTGGTGGTACAAGAATTTCAACATCCCTCGGATCACCTTCTCCTCCTCCAGCTGTGATTCCCTCAAATATAGAGGAATTAACGGCATTTACTGAAAAGGCCACGGCAATAATATTTAAAGCCAAAGAGGCTGGAGAAGATATTATGAGTTTAGAAGCTCCTATTGAAATCTGCGAGTTAACCAAAGAAAACGACGAGACTGTGAAAAAGGATAGAAGAATTTACAACACATTCCTCTTTGACCTGTGCAAAGAAACGATTGCCGAAGTTTATCAGGCTGAATATGAAAAACCAGGCCCAAGTTGGATGAAACCAAACGTGAAGACAAAACCTACAATGAAGATCCCTAAGAATATACAAGAACTTAACGCTTATGTGAATAAAGAAGTAGCTACGTTATTCGGTTTTAAAACAAAATTGCAACGGGAAAATATGGTAATGCGTTGGAGTAGAAAACGAAGAGACAGAGTTGATGAATTATTGGCTAGAGAAGCCCAAGCTGAGGAAGATGAATGGACAAAATTCCATCATGATGAACTCGCAGTAAAGAATGGTCTTACTGTAACTATATTAGATACTCTGTTGATGGAGACTGTGAACGTAGTTAAAGTAGCATACGCGAAGAAAAGAAAAGTTATGGTTTAGTCTTTTTTTTTATTTTTTTTTTTTTTTTTTTTTTTTGTTAC